ACCCACGGGAGCCTCAGGGCAGGAAGTGTGCGGACGCAGGGTCTCCGGTGCCCGAAACAAAGACCTAGAGTTCAAAGGGAGCCCCGCACCGAGCGGCTGTGTGAGGTCCGGGCCGCGCGGGGGCTCCGCTGGGAACAGGGGCGGAGACTGCAGCCCGCGCCTCCGGGAGGCCCCCCTCCCAGAACAGCTGCAGACACCCAGCCTGCCCCGCAGCGCGAGTCTTCTTTAGTTTCTCAGAATTGTGCTCTGGCTCCGTGCGCCCCGAGTCCCTGCGTCAGGTTCTATGGAGAGCCCCGCGCCAAAGGACCAAAATGGAGGCAGAGAAAGGGGGTGGTCCGCTTGCTGAAAGCCGACACCCAAGGCCACGCAACCCCGGAGTTGCAACTTTAGTTACTGTGACATTTACTTATGGGGGTGGGGCGGAGGATGGCGGGAGGCCCTGCTGGGGCTGATGCCGCTGACCTACCAGTCTCCTAATCCAAAGGTGGGGGTGTCCATCTAACATCCAGCTCTGCCTCTTGATCCCATGGGCATGGCTTAGCCAAAAATTAGGATTAAAATATATATATATGTATATCTACGTATTCCACATTCTCCCAGAAACTTGAAATCCTTTCATTTCTGTATGGAAAAGAGAATGAAATGCTCATTTCTCCCAAATAACCAGCAGAGTAAAATGGGCCACCATTTGGTTTTACTTCCCTTGTTTGTTTGTCTGTTTGTATTTACTCTTCCTGCCGTCTGGTGGCTTGATCCGAGTGCCTGGGCTGCAGACCTTATCAGGGCCTTATCAGCACAGCGATCACCCACCTGCAGTTCAACGACCTTTGTAGGCTTGGACAGAAATGAGACTGGGTGCCTCCTGGGGTTGTTTGCTGCCCAGCCCTCCTGGCTCCCAGCCGTGGGCGGTCCTCTGTGTCCCCAAGGGGTAATGACACTAGTTGGAGACAGAAACCTGCCCGCTGGCACCTCTCAATCAACTATGAATGGTCTGGTACCCAGCCCCGGTTTTCCTCCTGCCACCCCCACCCCCTGAGTTTCCGGCCACCCCTGCTGGGTGCAGGGGCTACCCTGGGCCTGGGGGAGGGGGACTGTCTTTATCCTGAGGATCCTGGCAGGCTGCCTGGATGGAACTGGAGGGGGACTGATGGTTCTCATAAGGACCCCAGACAAAAAGGCCTGAGAATCTCTGTTATTTGGGTCTAAATGGGGAATAGATTCTTTAATCTGGGTCCTCGATCGGATTACATGTGATTCTTAATTAAAAGACTGATACATGCGCGTATCATGCCTCTGAGTTTATGGGTGTCGTTGCTCAGAACAAGACTATGTTTAAAAAGGGACACTGCGTGGGAAATCAAAGTAAAGTATACATAGATGCTGAGTAATATGTGAAATCTACCCGAAGAGTGTGTGTGTGTTTACGGGTTATAACTTACAGATGTAAACTTATAGAAAGTACATACATTTAGTACATTTAGTATATACACTTAATGTTACATTTAACATTTACATAATGTATTATCAGTGCCAGATGGGTACTAGACATATGGGGCAATCACTTCATAAATTACATAAATATCTAATCACCGTTGTATGCCTGAAACTGATATACTGTATGTCAACTGTAATTGGAAAAGAAAATTAAAAAATAAAACGATAAAAATGTTATAAGTGTATATTAAAATGTTATCAGTGTAAATCTCTATATAAAAATATGTACTTTAAACACCTTTATATTTTATATCAAGCCTTGTAACCTTTAGACACACACACAGCAGGACTAAGAGAGAGCGGGAGGGGGTGCCCACGGGTGCTCACGGCCATGCTGTCTGCTTTCTCCGCAGCCTCAGTTCTCGCCCGAGGACTGCGCTTTCGAGGAGGAGATCCGCCCCGACGGCTACAACGTTTACCGGTCCAAGAAGCACCAGCTGCCCGTCTCTCTGAGCAGCGCCAGACAGAGGCAACTGTACAAGGACCGGGGCTTCCTGCCGCTGTCCCACTTCCTGCCCATGCTGCCCAGGAGCCCGGCAGAACCTGAACACCTCGAGGACCCCTCGGAGCCCGACACGTTTCCTTCGCCCCTGGAGACCGACAGCATGGACCCTTTTGGGATCGCCAACAAACTGAGCCTGGTGAAAAGTCCCAGCTTCCAGAAGTAACCGAGGCTCTGCCCACCCCCCACCCCTGCCCCCCAGGCCAGGACCCAGGGCCTGTGGTGCTTGCAGAGCGGGCTCTGACCCTGCTTCTACAAGCACGATCCTGGGCCTGTGTCCTATTTAGCTCTGAGAAGAAACATTTAGAACCTGTACATAGTTTGACACTGATTGTGCCAGTTTCTAGGAGATAGACCTGTAGGGTTATAAAATTGTAAGTCCTTCACCCCCCTTCCCACCTCCCGGGTGCTACTCTAGCTCCCTACCCTGAATTTGGTCATTGCTGGACAAGTGCTTTCCATGCGCTGCCCCAGTTCTACTTGAATACCTCCACTGATGAGAAACTCATTCTCTTTGGGAAAGTCCTTAAGGCAGGCTGAAAATCTCTGCAGATTTCTACCGTAATCTCCAGCAGGGGCAGCCAGGAAGAAAGCACTCGTTTAAAATTCACATACAGGTGATCAGCTCTGAGCGGCAGGCAAATCTGACCCAACCACAAGGGAGAATTGGTCCAGATCTCAACTCCAGGCCCCTCCAACAGAATCGACTGGGTCCAGGCATGGCCCAGCAGGCTTCCCACACAGGGGAGCCCAGAGCCCCCTCCAGCCTGGGTGAATGTTGAGAACTCGCCACGCTGGCTGGTTCCAGTGTGGACAGCCTGCCGGGCTACTTGGCAGTTCACCTCCTGCCCCTGGCCCTCTCCTGGCAGCCAGCACCCTGTACGCAGCCAGTAATTGCCGGGTTTCCCTTAAGGCAACCAGCCATCCTGTCACCTGTTCAGAGGGACAGGACATGAAGGCACAGTCCCAGCAGCCCTTCCTTGCCACAGTGACGGGTTTCCAGGGAATCGGATTTGATCAGGTAGTGGGGTTCACGTGAGGGCCTTTGAGACGGACCCCTCCTCCGCCAGCCTCCCCCTGCCCCCGCTGTCCTCCCTCCCAGTTCTCCCGTCACCTTGGGGCTCTTGGCACCCACTTGAGTGCTGTGGATATTGACCCAAAGAACAGGCGCGCAAGCTGCTTCCATTTCCCAGCCCTGTGCCCCGGCACCGAGTCACTGTGTGTGGGGGCCGGCAGCTTCCGACCCTGGGTGAACCCACAAGGTTCACTCAAAAGCCAGAAAAAGAAGATTCGAAAGCCCCAGATCTTGCCAGTGGCTCGTGAAAACAGCGGGGACCATGACTTCCCAGCACTTAGTTGCCAACGTGATATTTACAGCTAATTTATTTTGATGGGCACCTCTGTTTATTTTCCTACATTATTTATACCCCCAAATTGTATTCATGTGTATACAGGAGTTTGGGGCTTTTTTACATTAAAGCAGACTTTGTATCAAGTGGCGTGTGTTGTTAGCAACTGGAATGTCGGAGGAAGGGGGGGGCAAAGCGGGGAGCTGGGGTGCCTGCTGTTTGCTGCATCTGGTACTCCGCCCTGCCTTCTGTAAGCTTTTTTCTTTTTCAATTACAGTTGACATTCAGTGTTTTCTATTGGGCCCCGGCCGGTGTGGCCCAGTTGGCTGGAGCGTCGCCCGTGCCCTGAAGGATCGCCCGTTTGATTCCTGGCCCTGGTTTCAGTTCCCAGCTGGGGCGTGCAGGAGGCAACGGCTGATGTTTCTCACATCAATTGTTTCTCTTTCTCCCTCCCCGCTCTCTCTAAAAAATCAATAAAAACATTAAAAAAAAAAATAAAAACTATTTTATATTGGTTTCAAGTGTACAGCGTAGTGGTTACACATTTAACTTATGAACTGACCCCTGGGAACTCCAGTGCCCGCCTAGCGCCACACAGTTACTGCAATGTGATCGACCCTATTCCCAGTGCTGTATTTATATCCCTGTGTTTGCTGTGTGCCTGGCAATTTGTGCTTCCAAATCCCGTCTCCCTCCTCACCCGGCCCCCCAAGCCCCCTCCCCTCTGGCAGCCATCAGTCTGTTCTTTGTGTCTGAGTCTGTTTCTGTTTTGTTCCTTTAATTTGTTCGTTAGATTCCACATATAAGTGAAATCATACGGTGTCTGTCTTTCTCTGTCCGATTATTTCACTGGGCACGCCACCATCTAGGAGCATTCATGTTGGTGCAGATGGCAAGATTTTGTTTTAGTTTATGGCCGAGTAATATTCCATTGTGTGTACCTCTTTTTTTTTTTTTAGTATGTTTTCATTGATTTCAGAGAGAAGGAGGGAGGAGGGAGAGAAAAACACTGATCGGCCGCCTACTGCACACCCCCTGCCAGGGGTCGAGCCCCCAACATGTGCCCTGACCAGGAATCGAACTGGAGACTGCCTGACGCATAGGATGAAGCTCAACCAACTGAGCCACACCGGCTGGGCTGCACCAGCCGGGGAAGCTCAGGCTGAGCCAAGGCCGCCCTGCCCAAGGCTACATACATGGGCACCACCGTGGTCCCAAGGGCACATGCCCCCCTGCCCCAGCCCTCTCCTCTCCCTGCCTTCCCCCCTCCCCCCTTCCATTCCAGCCCCTCTGGCCTCCTCATGGTCCCTCCTACCTGACCGGTCCCACTAGGGTCTTCAGTGCCCAGTGCTTCCCCACCTCAACCCGCACAGGATTCCAGCTGCAGGTGGATGTGCCCTCCACACCAGGCCTGTGAGGGGCACGCAGGGTGCTGGATGCTTCCCCAACCGCCCCCTAGAAATCTCCTGGACACCTCTCAGGCCATTGTTTAACCCACCGCAGAGGAACAGACATGAGTGGAATTGCTGTGCTGGAAGCAAGTGCACATTGAGAATCTTCCTAGAGGCTGCCGATGGCACCCTCAGTTGATCCAGGGTAGGTGTGATGTGCGCCTGGGCAGAGTCAGACTGGTAACCACGCAGCTCACCTTACTTTAGGGAAGACAGGATGGAGGGTGAGGGTGCCAGGCCCACCTGTGGCCCTCCACAGACGCCTGCTCAGGCTGGGGGCTCCAGCCTCAGGGAGGGCTGGTGGGGTGCTCACAGGCCAGGGCTGAGACCCAGGGCAGGCTGGGGAGTTCGTGAGGCCACTATCTTTGTTGTAGTTGCCCCAACCCTGTGGCCCCTGGGTCCCAGCCGGCATGGGGGACCCCAGCTGAAGCCTGGACCCCAACATCAGCCCTTGGGTGAGGGGTCTGAGAGCTTGGAGGGCAGTCGGGGGCCCAGACCGAAGCAGGCTGAGGGCAAAGCTCCAAACCCCAGTGCCGTCTGCTGTCCCAGGACCTGGGGGCAGGGCTCCACAATCCTGCTTCCCCCGCAGAACTGGGTAACGTGTTGGGGGGCAGTTTCTTCTCACCACCTGTGACATCTGAGCGGGTGGCCCAGGGCCTCCTGCCGGCCTCTAGTGAGGGCTGGACAGGCGGCTACAACTCGGCTGGTGGCCAGCCTGGGGTGGTCAGCCGCCTGCTG